AAGCAGCTGCCTCTATGAAAAGTAATTTCTCTGCATTAGTGACTGAGTTATTTTATTTACTTTATTTCTTTAGGAAGCAGTTAGAAAAAAAGTTTACTTTTGGAAAACGTTCTTTGACTTAAGAAAGTTTATGGTTGTCAGGCACAGGTATCACAGGCACTGGGGTTAAGCAGCGACATTTCTTAGATGCCCTTTCTGAGCCACTGCCCCCAATTCTGACTCCTTACAAAATGTCTAGTTCAAGCCCTTGGTTGGCCAAATGGAGAGTTCAATAGATTTTCCCTCTTGGGAAATTAAAATTCAGAAGTATGAAGTAACAACCAAGTACACAGAGCTAATAATGTTAGAACAGGGATTGAAATCCAGGTCTAATTCCAAATGCAATGTTTTTCCCACTACGTCTGTGACAGACTTGCACAGGATTGGTCAGCAAATGGCAGAGCTAGAATCCAAACTCAGGCCTTCGAAATTCAGTACAATCTATAACAAACTGTGCAAGAGTAAAGACTAAAGAGGGTTTTTGGTCTCTTGGAAAAAATATTTTAAGCCACCTTAATAGGACCAGTATCTTTCATAACCATTGCAATAATAAATTCCTACACGACATGACATCCAGATGCAAAAAGATGGGCTTTTCTGAGCTTATGTTCCAACAGATCTGGGAACAAAAGCATACAAAACAACACCACATATATGGTATAGAGAGAGAGAGGAGGAGATAATTTTAATTTTTACAAATCATTCTCTTTCTGATGCTATTTCCTATTTTTTTTTTTTTGAGACAGAGTCTAGCTCTGTCGCCCAGGCTGGAGTGCGGTGGTGTGATCTCGGCTCACTGCAAGCTCCACCTCCTGGGTTCAGGCCATTCTACTGCCTCAGCCTCCCAAGTAGCTGGGACTGCAGGTGCCCACCACCATGCCTGGCTAATTTTTGTATTTTTATTAGAGACGGGGTTTCACTGTGTTAGCCAGGATGGTCTCGATCTCCTGACCTCGTGATCCGCCCGCGCCGGCCTCCCAAAGTGCTGGGATTACAGGCGTGAGCCACCGCGCCCAGCCATTTCCTCATTTTCAAAATTATTTATTATGAAAAATGTAAAACATATACATAAGTAATACAATAGTATAATGAACCCCACATACCCATCACTCAACCCCAACGACTATCAACTCACAGCTAATCTTGCCCCATCCACTTCCCACCTTTACCAGATTATTTTGAAGCAAATCCCAGGCATTATATCATTTCATCTGTAAATAACAAGAACCCCTTATCATAAAATATACAGTTCAGATTTCCAATTATCTTATGTCATATTTTTTTAAGGCTAAAAAATAATCACTATCGAAATAAGGTCCATACAATGTGACTGGCTGATAATGTCTTATGTGTATTTTAATCTAAAGATTTCTGATCTTTTCCCCCTGCAATTACTTTATTAAAGAAACAATACGCTAGATGGCTTACGCCTGTAATCCCAGCACTTTGGGAGGCTAAGTTGGGCAGATCACTTAAGGCCAGGAGTTCAAGACCAGCCTGACCAACATGGCAGAACCCCATTTCTACTAAAACTACAAAGAAAGTTTAGCTGGGCATAGTGGCATGGGCCTGTAGTCCCAGCTATTCAGAAGGCTGAGGCGGGAGAATCGCTGAAACCCAGGAGGTGGAGGTTGCAATGGGCAAAGATCGCACCACTACACTCCAGCCTGGGTGACAGAGTGAAACTCTATCTCAAAATAAAGGAAAAGAAAAAAGAAACAGGCCAGGCGTGGTGGCTCACACCTGTAATCCTAGCACTTTGGGAGGCCAAGGAGGGCGGATCACGAGGTCAGGAGTTTGAGATCATCTGGACCAACATGGTGAAATCCCATCTCTACTAAAAATACAAAAATTAGCTGGGCTTGGTGGCGTGAGCCTATAATCCCAGCTACTCGGGAGGCTGAGGCAGGGAAACTGCTTGAACCTGGGAGGCAGAGGGTGTAGTGAGCCTAGATCACGCCACTGCACTCCAGCCTGAGCAACACAGCAAGAGTCAGTCTCAAAAAACAACAACAACAAAAAAATCACAATACCACGTATTATGTATGGTGTTATATATGGATACATTTATCACAAAATTATAATAATATGCATGAAAGGCCAGAGTTCAGGATGGTCTCGATCTCCTGACCTTGTGATCCGCCCGCCTCAGCCTTCCAAAGTGCTGGGATTATAGGCGTGAACCACCACGTTCCACCACCGTTTTATTTCTTAAGAAAACAATATCTCATCTTAGGCTACATGACGATAAATAAATAAGGAAAAAAAAATAGCAAGAAGAGACCTGAAACAAAGATGGCAACCTAAGATAAAGCAGTATGGTAGGTGTAATAATGTTCACTATTATGTTACTTTTATACTGTTAAATTATTGTTATTTTTTTCACACAGGGTCTCAGGTTTGTTGGTCAGGCGGAAAACAGCGGCGTGATCATAGCTCACTGCAGCCTTAAACCCCAGGGCTGCTGGGACTACAGATGCATGCCACTATACCCAGCTAATTTTTTATTTTTATTTTTTGTAGAGACATAGTCTTATTATGTTGCCCAGGCTGGTCTGGAACTCCTGGAGTCGAGCAATTCTTCCGCATAGGTTTTCCAAAGTGCTGGGATTACAGGCATTGAGCCACCATATCCAGCCACTATACTTTTTGATATGCTTGAAACAATAAAAACATTTTAAAATTATGAAGTCAATGGGAAAGATACAATGATTATACTCTGTGAAGTATCAAATGTCCTCAAATATCACAGTACCTACCTGATAGGGTTGTGGCAAGAATTAAATAAGATCATGAACATAAATTTAGCACACTAGAGGCATGACATAAGAGATAAATAACTGGTGGCCATAGTTATTATTTCACCCCACCACCATTGCCCTGACCCCTGGTGTCTTAAGAGAAGCATAAGGCCAGGTGTGGAGGCTCACGCCTGTAATCCTAGCACTTTGGGAGGCCGAGGTGGGCGGATAACCTGAGGTCAGGAGTTCGAGACCAGCCTGGCCAACACGGTGAAACCCCGTCTCTACTAAAAATACAAAAATTAGCCGGGTGAGGTGGCGGGCGCCTGTAGTCCCAGCTACTTGGGAGGCTGAGGCAGGAGAATGGCGTAAATCCGGGAGGCGGAGCTTGCAGTGAGCTGAGATCCGGCCACTGCACTCCTGCCTGGGGCCTGGACAGAGGGAGCTCCATCTCAAAAAAAAAAAAAAAAAAAAACATACGAATGGTAGGAAAAAAGAGTGCTAAACTGGTAGGGAACTTCCCCTAGACCCTGCCTGAAATTATCTAATATACTCTACTCTCATCTAGTTTAATCCAGCATTCAATCATATTGTCACTAAAGACCAGACTAGGTAGACATCTGAAATATCAGGCAAATTATGCAAATTAATGTTCACTGAACTATCTTTTACAGAGGTACTGGACCTCAGCAATTCACTTCAAATCTCTGAACCTCAACACAGATGAGAACACACATCTAAAAAGGGGTAAATACTATTAACTTCAAAGAGATTATCATGAGAAAAAAGAGGATGCTTATGAAAGTCCTATAAACCTAAAAGTTCTATACCAAAAAAACCTGGTATTTAATGAGTGTGCAAGGGGGGAAATCCTCAGATAAAACTGAAGTTCTTCAGTGAAATTCCAAAGACAGCCTTACTTACTACTTCTCTGTCAAAAGATGGCTTGCTTACTTCTCTGCCTACCATTCTTGGCACTTGTCTGGTAACCTCCACTTAAAATATGGGGATCCCTTTTTTTTTATTTTATTTTATTTTTATTTTTGAGACAGGGTCTCACTCAATCACCCAGGCTGGAATGCAGTGGCATGATCTGGGCTCACTGCAAACTCTGCCTCCCAGGTTCAAGCGATTCTCATATGTCAGCCTCCCAGTAGCTGGGATTACAGGCGTCCACCATGCTGAGCTAACTTTTGTATTTTCAGTAGAGATGGGGTTTTGTTATGTTGGTCAGTCGGGTCTTGAACTCCTGGCCTCAAGCAATCCTCCAGCCTCGGCCTCCCCAAGGGCTGGGATTACAGGCATAAGCCAGCATGCCTGGCCATATCCCTTTATTTTTAAGGGAAGAATATTTTTCCGATCTTCTAATTCTATCTCTTAGTTCCTCTACACCCCATCCTTTCTGTGACCCCATTCTGTCCTTCCACATCTCTCTCACCTGTCCACCCCCTTCTTCACATTTCAGTTTACCACCCCCTCTCTCTGTTCTCGAACCTCCTGGTTGCAACCTCAGAAACTGGTTCCCTTTCTATTTTTATCTCACCTCAGAAAACCTACTGCCTTCGAGCACAAAGCCTTACTTTATTGAGGCCAGTAAAACTGCAACACCAGATGCAAACCCACATCCTCTTTCAAGCTCTAAAGTCAAGACCATTACCAAGCAGGGTCTGACAGGTACAGCCAAGGGCAGAGATTATTTCCAATGGACAAGACCTCCCGCTGGCCTTTGATTTCCAACCTTTCCCAAATGCAATACATGGGAAGCACACAGCACAAAACGCACTCAGCAAGCTTTGTTATCACTCCATAAAATACACACAACATTTACAAAAAATCAAAATGAACTCAAATTATCTGTAACAGTTTTGCAAATTCCTTCGAAGTAACTAAAAACACCGCAGGACGGAAAAAACAACCCAGGGCTGGAAATCTTTGCTTTAGGTAACATTTCACTAGATGAGAGTGCCAGGATTCTCCTCCCACATGGGCACAGAGAACAGATTTGCTAAGCTGCAGCAACAGGTTTCTTTTAAAAAAGAAAATGTGCTTTAAAACACTTCAGGCAGGTCTGCTAGAGCTTGGAGTCCCTAATAAATACACAAAACACTGGAGATCAGGTTAGGGCAGGCGGTGGGCAATTCAACCACTTCTAGGACCTTTCCAGGACCCACCGAGGTGCTGCTTTCCCTCTTGCCCTAGAAGTAACTGGTGACGCCGCTTCCAGCCCTTGAGGACCCGGAGAAAGGATGGCCCAGGCCCAACCTTTGGAGGATACTGCCTTGGCTCTCTCTCACAAATGCAACGGCCCGGGACGGTGTCGCCCTCCAGGAAGGCCCTTTGCATCTCCCTCCTCCGGAGACACCGCGAATTCCCGCCTCCCGGCGGAAAGCGGGAGAAGCGAGGGTTTTCTCCCCGCCCCTCCCCCAGTAGGGGCACACCCGCCCCCCTCAGCAGGCCTGGGCTTTGCGCTCCTCTCCCGAGAACCACCGTCCTCAGATCTCCCCGGGGAGTGGGCCGTCCTCTTCCTGCCCCCACCCGCGAGACGCGGCAGAAAAGCCCGCGGCTATCTTCCCGCCAGCAACAGCCTCCCGCCGAGCCGGTCGGGACAGAGGCGGCCCCCACTCCCACTGGGCAGGGACTGCAGACGGCGCTCCCCGACTCTCAGACGACCAGGGAGCTTCCCTTTTCCTCAGCGGGGTGAGGGGCATCTGTCGCCTGCCGACTTGGAGGTGGGGGGCAGGGACATTCCCTCGCCATCACCTCAGGAGCTAGAATGCTGCTCGCCGCAGGGCGTGGGCCTCCCAATCCCTCCAAGGGGCGGACGGCGTGCGCAACCCCCTGGAGAAGCAACAGGCGCCCCCATCCCCCTCCAAGCCGGGTAACGCCGACCCCCTCTTCCCTCCCGCTCTTCACCTCCGGAAGCCGGGCCAAAGCCTGGGCGAACGACTGCGCCTCACTCCGCCCCCTGCGCCATTTTATCGCCCCCTCCCCGACCTCCCCCACCCCGAGTCAGCCGGGCCAACGCCAGGGGGAGGGCAAACCAGCAGTGATTGGCAGGAAACCGTCCCGCCTCTAGGAGGGTTGTGCCCCGCGCAGGCGCTTCAGCCCCGCCCTCCGCACCGCCTACCGTGCCCGCCGGCTCCACCTTTTCCCGTCTCATCGACCTGCTCGACTCTCCGCTGCTCCTCACTTTTTCCAGCTACTGCCGGGCGGGGAGGGGTCCAGGCCGAGCAAGCGGAGCGCCGAGCCCAGCTGATGCAACCTGGCTGGACTCGCGTGACAGTTCCCGGTACGCGGCGGCGACGGTGACCCAGGAAGGGGCTCTGGTGCCGGGCTGAGCAGGGGAAGCAGGGGTAGCGGAGCCATGGGGGACGCTCCCAGCCCTGAAGAGAAACTGCACCTTATCACCCGGAACCTGCAGGTCAGGCCTGGGGGTCGGAAATGCGCCGTTGGGGACTAGGAGCCCGAGGTTCAGTGATTTTGAGCCCCATTACGGGGTTCTAAGTATGTGGGGCCGGGGTCTCGGCGCTGGGGCAGCTCTGAGAGAGGCTGTAGATCTCACTGCTGGTCGGTCAGTCAATCAAGCAGCCCTTACCTGGGTTCCACAGAAAGCACAGCGGGCTCATCTCTTCCGTCCAGTTACCTTGTGTTGGAGCCAAGCTTTGAATCCAGGACTCCCACTCCACCGCCCTATTAAGTGCCAGACCTGGTGTTTAGTCGCTGGGGATACGTCAAGCCAGAGCTTGTCTGAAGGGAATCAGACGTTAAAAATGACCCATTACGGTTCAAGTAAATACTGGAAGATGCTATACTGGGAGCTTTAAAAGGAAAAAGAGAAGAGAAGCCTTCCCTGAGGAAGTGACCTCTAAACTGCGCCTTGAAGGTAGTGGATCCCCCCTCCTCATATGTTCCGATTGTTACCAAGAAATACGGGAGTAGAAGTTAACCAGAGGAAGAATGGAAGAATGACGAGGGAGAGCATTTCAGATGGAGGGAACAGAAATTGTGGCTAATTTAGCTGGAGTGGAGTGAGCAAAGTTATGCGGAAGCACTTAAATATTTGTGTTGCTTATTCCCTTAACTTTTTCAGGCTTCTATTGTCACCTTATCAGGGAGGCATGATTTCCGACCACTTTATTTAAATAACAAACCCTCTGGCACCAGAACTGCCCCATCCCTTGCTCTGCCTTTTTTTTTCTGTTATTATTTCTACATGCTATACATTTTATTTGTTTATTTGTTTAGGAGAGGTAGGCAGGGTCCAAGTCACGGGCGCCTGGCAGGCCTTATTCTGTTCAATTTTAAATTGTGCTTTCTTCAAAGAGCAGTGATACATCAGTTGGGCCACAGCCTGCACTGTTTTTTCTTTTTTGAGATGTAATTCACATACTATAAAATTCACCCTTTTAAAGTGTACAATTCAGTGGGTTTTAGTATGTTCACAAGGTTGTGCAACCATCACACTAATCTAATAAAACTTGCACCCATTAGCAGACACTACCTATTACCCACTACTCCTAGCCTTAGGGAAACACTAATCTACTCTCTGTCTCCAGGTATTTGCCTATTCTGGGCATTTCCTGTAAGTAGAATCATACAATATGTGTCTTGTTGCGGCTGATTTTTTGCACTTAGCATAATGTTTTCAGAGTTCATGCATGTATTTGCACCTAACAGAACCTCATTCCTTTTTTAGTTTTGTTTTATTTTTGAGACAGAGTCTCCTCGGTCGCCCAGGCTGGAGTGCAGTGGCGCGATCTCAGCTCACTGCAAGCTCCGCCAGCTGGGGTCCACGCCATTCTCCTGCCTCAGCCTCCCGAGTAGCTGGGACTACAGGCGCCAGCCACCACGCCCGGCTAACGTTTTGTATTTTTAGTAGACGGGGTTTCACCGTGTTAGCCAGGATGGTCTCCATCTCCTGACCTCATGATCCACCCGCTTCGGCCTTCCAAAGTGCTGGGATTACAGGCGTAAGCCACCGCGCCCGGCCGAACGTCATTCCTTTTTATAGTTGAATGATACTCTGATGTATGGGTATACATTTTGTTTTTCCGTTCATCAGTTGATGGACATTTGGGTTATTCCATTCACAACTTAGTCTTAACCAAAGGTTTTTGCATGCTTCCCCTAGCTAGATTCTTTGTTTCCTATTCTCTCTCCATAAAATAGTGCTGGTTGGAGACTAAAAATACACAAAACTATTAGAATTTACTCAATTGGGTTTTTCGTTTTGGGGTTTTTTTTTTTTTTTGAAACGGAGTTTCGCTCTTGTTGCCCAGGCTGGAGTGCAATGGCACAATCTTAGCTCACTGCAACCTCTACCTCCCGGGCTCAAGCGATTCTCCTGCCTCAGCCTCCTGAGTAGCTGGAATTACAGATATGTGCCAACACGCCGGGCTAATTTTTGTATTTTTAGTAGAGATGGGGTTTCACCATGTTGGCCAGGCTGGTCTCAAATTCCTGACCTCAAGTTATCTGCCAAACTCGGCTTCCCAAAGTGCTGGGATTAACAGGCGTGAGCCATGGCACCCGGCCTCACTCACATTTTAAAGGCTAAGTAATGTGACATCTTCCTGGATGGTGAGAACCCTCCAAGTGTCCACATAGTTGGGGTGCTCTTGAGCATGCGGGATCAGCTACCGAAAGACTTGGAGCACAGGATTTTAACAAGTCCTGGTAATACATGATTCAAACTATCAGTCTATCATAGTTTCTAACAGCCTCCAAAACTGTAACTTGAGGAAACACTACAGCCTCTTATCAGAGGTACACTGGCCTCTTAGAATTTTTTCAATACTGTCATAGGACAAAAAGAAATCATTAAAGGTTTGTAAAAAGGAAAATGAGTTTTAAAGAAGTTTTTGAGTTTTAAAGACTATCTCTGGCTACCTTTTAGAACATGGATTGGAGTGGCCAGGCACAATGGCTCATGCCTGTAATCCCAACACTTTGGGAGGCCCACGCGGGCAGATCACTTGAGGTCAGGAGTTGAAGACCAACCTGGCCAACATAGTGAAACCCCATCTCTACTAAAAATACAAAAATTTATCGGGCATGGTGGCAGGCACCTGTAATTCCAGCTACTTGGGAGACTGAGGCAGGAGAATAGTTTGAACCCGGGAGCAGAGGTTGCAGTGACTTAAGATTGCATCACTGCCCTCCAGCTTGGGTGACAGAGCAAGACTCCGTCTCAAAAAAATAAAAAAAAGAACATGGATTAGAGGGAGTAAGAGTAGATTTGGGAGACCTGTTAGGAGAATATTACAGTAATCCTGGTGTGATCTGATGGGGCCTGGATTTGGGTGGTGATGTAGAGGCAGAGAAATAGGAGGGTTGAAGAGCAGTTTTGGAGTCCTTGAACAACTCTAAATGATGGTACCATTTACTGAACTAGGAGTGAAACTATCAGTGAAAAAGATGGTTGGGGAGTGAAGTAAAGTCAAGAGCATGAGTTTTATTTTGAACACGTTGAGTTTGAATGATTGGATTGATAACGAGAACACCGTTCTGTATATGGGCGTGAGCAGGAGATTTGGGAGTTACTGGCTCACAGTAGTAATTGAAGCAACTGAAGGGGATCAGTTAAGGAGACTGTAGAGTAAGAAGATAAAAGACCAGAGCCCCAAGGATTGCTAATATTTATTGACTAGGAAAAATAAGAACAGTTGCAAAGAAATCCAAGCAGGCAGAGAAGAGGAAAACTAACAGAATAAAATAAAGGAGACCAAAAGAGGAGAGTGCTTCTGGGAGGGAGTGAGGACTAAAAAATACTCATTGAATTTAGCAACATGAAGGTCCTCTGTGATCTTAGCAAGTTTATTTGTGATGTGATATGGAATTCAAATTGGAATGGGAGATTAGGAAATGGAGACCAAAAGAAGAGACAACTGTTTCAAGAAATTGGCTATGAAAGGAAGGAGAGTGAGTTAGAGGTATGTAAACCAAAAAGTATCTGAGGCCAGGTGTGGTGGCTCACACCTATAATCCCAGCACTTTGGGAGGCTGAGGCAGGTGGATCATTTGAGGTCAGAAGTTGAGATCAACCCGACCAACATGGTGAAACCCCATCTCTACTAAAAATACAAACAATTAGCTGAGTGTGGTGGTGCGTGCCTGTAACATCAGCTACTCTGGAAGCTGAGGCAGAAGAATCACTTGAACCCCGGAGGCGGAGGTTCCAGTGAGCAGAGATCGCAGCACTGCGCTCCAGCTTGGGCGACAGAGTGAGACTCCATTTTTTTTTTTTTTTTTTTTGAGACGGAGTCAGAGTGAGACTCCATCTTAAAAAAAAAAAGTATCTGAGACAAGTCTCAATGAATTTAGAGGTTTATTTTGCTAAGTTGAAAGACCATGGCACCTGACACAGCCTCAGTAAGTTTTGAGAATATGTGTCCAAGGTGGTTAGGTTACAGTTTCGTTTTATACATTTTGGGGAGACAGAAGTTACAGGCAAAAACATAAATCAATACAAGTAAGGTATACATTGGTTTGCCCAGAAAGGGGGTGGGAGTTCTAGGTTATAGGTGGATTCAAAGATTTCCTGATTGGCAATTGATTGAAAGAGTTAAACTCTGCCTGAAGAGTTGAAGTCAGCTGAGTTAAGATAAGGAGGGTTGTGGAAGCCAAGGTTTTTTTTTTTTTTTTTTTGAGACATAGTCTTGTTCTTGTTGCCCAGGCTGGAGTGCAATGGTGCAATATTGGCTCACTACAACCTCCGCCTTCCAGGTTCAAGCGATTCTCCTGTCTCAGCCTCCTGAGTAGCTGGGGTTACAAGCGCCTGCCACCGTGCTCTGCTAATTTTTGTATGTTTAGTAGAGACAGGGTTTCGCCATGTTGGTCAGGCTGGTCTCGAACTCCTGACCTCGTGATCCGCCCGCCTTGGCCTCCCAAAGTGCTGGAATTTACCGGCCTGAGCCACTGTACCCAGCTGAAGCCAAGGTTCTTGTCATATAGATGAAGCCTCCAGGTAGCTGGCTTCAGAGAGAATTGATGGTGAATGTCTGTTATCTGACCTTAAAAGGTGTCAGACTCTCCAGAAAAGACTTAGTATGGGTAGGAGATTTCTCTACAGAACGCACATTTCACCCCACAAGAGACAGTTTTGCAGGGTCATTTCAAAATATGTCAAATAAATATCTTCTGGGGTAAAATACTTTGATTTCCTTTAGGGTCTGCTATCTGTCTTGTGGTGCTATACCAGAATCAGGTTGGAATTTGGTATCTTATTGCTACAGAGAGTTTGTTTTGTCAATCTTACTATCTGTGTTTTAATGTTCATGCTGGTCAATTGTGTCTAAACCCCAGAGGATCACCAGGTGGGGTGGCTCACACCTATAATCCCAGCACTTTGGGAGACTGAGGCCAGAAGATCACTTGAGTCCAAGAATTCGAGACCAGCCTGGGCAACATAGTGAGACTTCTCTACTAAACCAAAAAAACTAGCCAGGCGTACATGCGCTGGTAGCCCCAAGCTGCTAGGAAGGCTGAAGTGGGAGGATTGTTGAGCCTGGAGGTCTAGGCTGCAGTGAGCTGTGTTTGCACAACTGGACTCCAGCCAGGGCAGCATAGCAAGATCTTGTCTCAAAAAAAAAGTGAATAAATATACTCCAAAGGGAGAAGGGTATAATGAGGCAAGTCAGACCCTTCCTTCCTGCGTTGGCCTGAACTAGTTTTTTAGATTTCTTTGGGATCCTGTTGGCCAAAATGTGGGGTCCATTCCATCAGTTGGGGGGCTTAGAGTTTCGTTTTGGTTTACAGGTAGCTACAGGCAAAGATGCAGTTAGGGGCATGTCCCCACTCCCCAGCATCGGGGGTGATACTAGGAGCAGCATCAACTTTACATTGGCTCTCCATGTTGTAACTGAGCGAGTTATATAGAAACGCCACACTCTGAGATGAATTCAGGAGTCCTTTATTAGCCTGCGACCGAGAGACGGCTAGTGCTCAAAATTCTCTCGGCCCTGAAGAAGGGGCTAGATTTTCTTTTATACTTTGGTTTAGAAAGGGGAGGGGGAGCCTAGCTGAAGTAATCTTACAGAAGTAAAACAGGCAAAAAAAAGTTAAAAAGACAAATGGTTTATACTTTGGTTTAGAAAGGGGAGGGGGAGCCTAGCTGAAGTAATCTTACAGAAGTAAAATATGCAAAAAAGTTAAAAAGACAAATGGTTTATACTTTGGTTTAAAAAGGGGAGGGGGAGCCTAGCTGAAGTAATCTTACAGGAGTAAAACAGGCAAAAAAGTTAAAAAGACAAATGGTTATGGGAAAACAAACAGTTCCAGGTGCAGGGGCTTTAAATCCATCACAAGTGATAGACGCGGAGGCTTTGGGTACCATCAGCCAGACACAAATGTGGGGGCTTAGGGTACTATCAACCGGGTGAATTCCTGGGAACTGCGATATAGCTTGCCACAATATCTTATCAGTTAATTGCGTTCTTTGATGTACTGGGAGTCAGCTTGCACAAGTTAAGTCCTTGAGGAGGGGGGTGGGTAAGAGGCTGCAAGGGGCTGCAAGTGAAGGAGCCAAAATGGAGTTTGTCTGGCTCTCTCAGCAAAGGGAGAGTCAATTCGGGTTAAAACAAGGTAGGGTATCACATCCACACTGAGAGCATGGCTGGACCTCCTTGATGGCTCTGAGCCTGGATCTCCAGTGACACATCCTTTTGTTTTCCTTGTCACATGGTAAAGGATGAGCAAGGTGGGACACCGACATTAAACTAACTCTTCTGCTTCCACAACAGGAGGTTCTGGGGGAAGATAAGCTGAAGGAGATACTGAAGGAGCGGGAACTTAAAATTTACTGGGGAACAGCAACCACGGGCAAACCACATGTGGCTTACTTTGTGCCCATGTCAAAGATTGCGGACTTCTTGAAGGCAGGATGTGAGGTAAGAACTAATGCTATAAGCCCTTGAGGAATGACCCAAAGGAGACCCAAGAGAGACTTAACAAGGACAGGGTGGGGCTGGAGGAGATAGGTTGGAGGTAATTGGACAAATTCGCATTTTGGTAGCCCCTTATCTCTTATCCAGGTAACAATTCTGTTTGCGGACCTTCACGCATACCTGGATAACATGAAAGCCCCGTGGGAACTTCTAGAACTCCGAGTCAGTTACTATGAGAATGTGATCAAAGCAATGCTGGAGAGCATTGGTGTGCCCTTGGAGAAGCTCAAGTTCATCAAAGGCACTGATTACCAGCTCAGCAAGTAAGTGCTTGATCATCCACCCTCCTTGTGGCTCTGGTGCTGCTAGCTAATTACAGGCCTGTGGAGTCCAGTCATTCTTTACATTTAAATTAGAAGCTGTCTGGCATGACCTATTAAGAACCGTTTAAAACTTTATACTCATTGTCCTTGTAATTCATCCATCAGAAGTATACTGACTAGTAAATGCCTTAATACTGTCGTATTTGCTGGAAATACAAACATAACCATAACAAAGTCCTTGGCCTTGCAGAACTCACAGCATATGGGAGAGTGATTGTGAACAATTCAGCCTCCCTTTCTCTTCCAGCCTCAGCAAATAATAAGAAAAGAAAAGTGAAAGAAAAATATTTCACTTGTTTTTCACCACCCCAACAATTGTTATTGCTTTTTATCTTTGTGAGTTTTGTTCGTATTTGGAATGTTAGCATAAATATTTCATGTTCTGATGTTTAACTTACTCTTTTTTTTTGAGATGGAGTTTCGCTCTTGTTGCCCAGGCTGGAGTGCAATGGCGCAGTCTTGACTCACTGCAACCTCCGCCTCCTGAGTTCAAGTGATTCTCCTCCCTCAGCCTCCCAAGTAGCTGGGATTACAGGCATGCACAACCACACCCAACTAATTTTGTATTTTTAGTAGAGGCAGGGTTTCTCCATGTTGGTCAGGCTGGTCTTGAACTCCCAACCTCAGGTGACCCTCCCGCCTCAGCGGGGTTTCATCATGTTAGCCAGGATGGTCTCGATCTTCTGACCTTTGTGATCCGCTTGCCTCGGCCTCCCAAAGTGCCTGGATTACAGGTGTGAGCCACCCATGCCCGGGCCTAACTTTACTCTTTCTTTTTTTTTTTTTTTTTTTTGAGACGGTAGTCTTGCTCTGTGCCCCAGGCTGGAGTGCAGTGGCGCGATTCTCGGCTCACTGCAAGCTCCGCCCCCCGGGTTCACGCCATTCTCATGCCTCAGCCTCCCGAGCTGCTGGGACTTACAGGCGGCCCGCCACCGTCACCCGGCTAATTTTCTTGTATTTTCCAGTAGAGGGACGGGGTTCCACCGTGTTTAGCCAGGATGGTCTCGATTCCTGGACCTCGTGATCGCCCGTCTCGCCTCCCA